AGCAAGACAGTTCCAGATACAATAATCTTCGCAAAGTTTTATTTCATAAAATAATAAATAACAGAATAAATCGACTAAATTAATAAAGGACAGATAAAATGAGAGCCACTGACTTGTTCCCGCTATTGATAATAGCTCTTCAGGTGCTCGGTGTCCTATAGGTGGGCCAAGACTTTCCTAGAAAAGTTGGAGTCGCCTCCTCCTCCTATCCCTCAAGACATTGTCTGGATTTCTCCAATGGGTTGTTGGCGTTTTCTGTCGTTCTGATCTCGACCAGGTGGCGGGGCTTGTCTTCTACCAGCAACGTACTGCCTCAACTGATTACGCTGTATGAGCTCCTCGATCTACCTTTTAAGATCAAAGCAGTCGTCAGTATCATGGTCGTGGTCGCGGTAGAAACGATAGTACTTGTNACTACGTGTATCGAATAATAAACAAATATTTGGATAAATGACGACTGACAACTATCTGGTCAAACACAGGTGTTTGTGAAGTACTATCTACTATCAAATGCCAAAAGAGTATAAAATGANAGAAACGATAGTACTTGTTGGGGCCCCTAGGATCATCCTGTATTTGAAATAAGATATGCTCCACAAAAGCATTGAGTGACGTGAAGGCTTGTTGCTCTCTCAGAGGCTGGGGGGACCAAGGTAGTCCTTGACAGAGATTCTCTCTGTCCTATTCCTTTTATTCTCTGCTTCTCACTTATCATCGCGGGTGTCCTTGCTCTTCTCGCCCCCGTGGGAGGACTCACCTCGTTTGGCTTTGGTAACATTCTCAGCGTTCATGTACTTTTGTGCCCTTGACAGCAACTCGGGCATGATGGAGGACGACTTCTTAGGGATGAAGAACATGAAGCTAGACCAGCAATAAAGGCGGTCAGGGCTACCTTATTGTCTAGCTCCTGGATCTGGAGAGCCTCCTCATTGAAACGAGTGAGGTAGCTCCTAAGACTTTCATCCCGGTCTTGCTTGATAGTGAGCAGGTGGGTAACAGGCTTCTGATGTCGACGTACTCCAATAAAGTGGGAGACAAAGGATTTGCTCAGCTCTGCGAACGAGTGGATAGAGGAGGGTTTGATCTTGCCGAACCACTAGCATACGAGTCCCTTAAGGGTGGTAGCTCTACACATAATCTTATCCGGCACATTGTGGAGTTGCATGAGAGATTTGTAGATGTCAAGATGATCTAGAGGGTCCTTAGTACCGCTGAAAATCTCGATGGCATACATCTTGAACTTCGAGAGTAAGGGCTAATTGACAATATCGGCAACAAACGGGGTATCAGTGCGCCTTACCAGGTAATCTACAGTCTCTAGCGCTTATGCCTTAATGACGTTGAGGGCATCACCAAGTTGGTTTTGCACCTCTCTATTCTTCTCGGCCCACTAATTGGGGACATCCTCTGTTGGGTTGTTGTACTGGCTTCCGTGATCGACATATTGGCTTGCTCCTTCGTTCTTCTGCGCAGGTACATGAGGAGGGGGAGCATATAAGCTTCATACATGCTGAGGAGGGACTGTTGGGCGAGGGGCATCCTGGCGTTACCTAAGGGCATTCTGATAAGGACCCCCATGGTGGGGGGTTGCTTGGCGTCCAGAGTGGTTAGGTTGTTGCGCCTCTTCCATTGGAGGGAGTGGTGCTCCTTCTACGGGCTGGGGAGCGACGCCTCCCGAGACGGCGAGCATCAACTAAATGATTTGCTAGTTCTGGTTTACTAGCAGCTGCATAGTCTGTAAGAGTTGTTGCCCGACCACAGAAGTCGCGATAGTGAATGGTTCCGAGAGTGCGAGGGGAGGCGAAACCTCTTCTTGGGGGGTCGGGTTATTGTCTCCCAGTTCTTGACTCATCGACCTGGTCATGATTGTCATGGAGTAGCAAGGTAGTAGAACATTTATTTGATTCCCACAGACAGCGTCAAACTGATGATGCACAAAATTATCTTGTGTAAGATCAAAGCAATCAATGGCAAAAATAATAAATATTGAGTCAATACACAAATATATAGTGGTTTGGTCCGGGTGACTTACTCCACTCTCAAAAGCGACAACGGTGGCTGGTGGCTTTTTATTGATGAATAGAGTAAAAGAGAGAAAACACTCCGAGAAAGGTACAATAGCTAGAAGAGCAAAGTTGTGTTTAGATGTAGAGAGATGTGTTGAGAGATCTTTAGGTGTCATCTATCATATGGAGAGGGCTTACAATTTATATGTATGTTGAGAAAGTGAGGTGAAGCGATGACGTGAGTGAGAAGACACTACTTCTGCGGGGAGAATAGTTACAAAAGATAAGTACAATTAATGTAGGATTGATATTCCTGAGTGTGTATCCCTATAATCTCTCTCCTATATACTCTTATCTTCTCAGGCTCTTCAGATCTTGGACTGGGCCAAATTGTTGGACTGAGCCTAAGTTGTTTTTTAGCTGACTTGAACTTTCTTGATTTATTGAACTTGGATTCTATTTTTTAGTTTTATTTTAGATGAATGTCATTAATGTATTTTTTTATATTGATTTTATTTTTGACAAAGATTATTGAATATATTTGGTTTATTGAATTTTTTTTTTTGAAATTGTCAATCTAAAAATAACTTTCTTATATTTTTTTTATTAATTTTTGAATTACTATTCAAATATATATTTAAACTTTCCAAATAGATTTTACTATTTTCTATACTGTAAAATTATTTTTAAAATCATCTAACCAAACTAATTTTTTATCTCAAAAAATATTAATAAGCTTCATCTTCTCCTTTTCTTTTTTTTTCTTTTTTTTTTTGACTTTTTTGTTTCTCTCTCTAATCTCTATCTATGTAATTCAACAGACAAATATGGCCATCTTCCTCAAAATCGTCCATAAAAAAAAAAAAAATCTTTTTCCAAACCCATACAACTTTCTCATTCAAACCCATATATATCTCTCTAGCTACTAATTGGAGTTGCCTGATCAAAATTAGGTAACATGACAAGTCCAATTTATAAATAAGCTCATTTCCCTTTTATTATTGTCTTTCGTAGGGATGCCAATCGCCAAATAAGAGCACGAGTTCATAGAGAAATAACTCTCAGCGCAAATTTGCTCACGGAGCACGAGAGCATTAAAGAATTTAGAAAAAAAGAAATTAACATGCCATGCAAATGAAAGTAGAGAACCCGGCTAGTCAAACTCATACAAGTTCCCAAACTAAGAAATAAATATGTAAATCTATAATTTTTGTTTGGATACATAAAAATATATAATTTAAAACCATAGATACCCAGACAACTTTTCCCAACCTAAGCTTTATAAACCCACAACCTTCTCATGGAGAATTTGAGGAAAACTATTTACGTGATATTTCGCTCTGAGTCAAAAAGTCAAATAACTAACCAGCCAGCTTCAAATAATAAAGATAGCCAGCCGCTCAGACGATTAGTTTTTTTTTTTGGGTATTAGTTAGGAGTGTTGGACCAACTTACGTGCACCTCAATCAGCCAGCTAATTCTATAAAACCACCTGCTTAATGATGCAAACTCACCCTTTGTACCAGCAGCACAACTGAAACTTCTGAAGCTGAGAATCTTTAGTTACTCGTCATCATCAGTGTAGTTGTCATCACTATAGTGTTCATATACCTGATAATCCCTATCACTGGTTTCAGCATCTTGCAATTCATTGCTACCTGCTCCATGAAATGGAAAACTACCAAAAAGTTCTTGCAAGTAGTTTTGTGATATGTTCCCACGGGCTGTATCTGAACAAACATAGGAATTCTGATTGCGAAAAATGAGCCGTAAACATCATCTTATTGGTAAGAAACCAAAAGCTAAAACCCAATTCAGTAGAAATAAAGAAAAGAGAGATGATGGGTGAGGAATCCTCCAAACTCCGATAGCATATACACCCAGAATTTATTTTAAAAAAGAAAAACACTCAAGACAAGTGATATCTGTTCCCTCACCACAGCCATGAGAAAAGCTCAAGGCCAATAAAAGTGCTCTCTCTATGATGAAATCCGCCACCAACAATCACCATCGGTAAAGCAATGAGGGAACTACATGCCCATAGTTTTCCTAAGGTTGTCCAAAATGTCTAGAACTCTATTTGAATGGCAAACTCATCACCACCACTTTTTTTGCAGGCCTACCTAGAGGGCAGTATATCTGTCATAAACATTTCTTCATCTCTATTTCCTCAACTTTTTCCGGTACATCAAAACAATGAAAATATCCAAGACAGATAATGGTTACACTAATTCATGGGCCCAGCTCAAATGGTGCGATACTCTACTGGCAATTGCCATCAGAGTAATCCTAATGTGGTCCCTCCAACAAAAATGAAGTCCGACCACAGGATATCTCTTTATTGGATTACATTTTAATTGTTAACTGCCTTCCAGTTGAAATTTGTAAAAGTTGTTTGAAAGTTTGACCAGCATTTTTCACATTGGGGACTTTTTAATAGGAACATAATAACAAAAGGGTATTTTGCAAGGATACATGAACATGGTTGTAGAGTAAACTTTCCATCCTCACCAGCCTACAAACAAGAAACGGGAAAGGGAAATTAAAAGGATAAATGAGACAGACTTGAAAACAAAAAAAGAACTAACACTAAAATTTTTGAATAAACGCATTAGAACATAAAGTATATGCGACTTTACCAAGTCAAGTGCCTCGTGTACATCTGCCTCTTCAATATTATCATCCTCAATTTCATCTTCTTCATCTTCATCATCATTGGCTTCTTTGTCTTCATTATCCACAATCTCTGCACAAATTGGTTTGATGATACTCTAAATGATGACTACTTGAGTACATTAAGTGAAAGAAACCTAAAATAGAATTTAGCGGCAACTAGCAAGCTATTTGGACTAATTTATTTGGAACCATTCAAACATTATAAATAATATTTACCTAATTATTCACACTAATGTCAGTTGATTGAGGCTCAAATTGCCCAAAAAAAAGGCATGGCAAACTCTTATAGACAAGTTTTGAAAGTTATAGTTCTGATAGTTAACTAGAACCTTTATTGACTTGCTGCCTTTTTACATCAGGTCTTGAATTCTTTGCAGGAATGCGCACCCTCTTTGACTTTTCAAAGCGAGCTGAAGCAGATTTTAGCAATGACTCTGCACCAGGCTTAGGGTATACTGATAAGAACCTCACAGCAACATGTAATCGCAAACTATCAAGCACATGTGACGAGAACCAGCCTGTTGCAAACTGTAAACTAATAAGAATTTAAACATCAGGTAAAATTGCACCTACATCATCTAGCACTTCTTACTGACTACAGAAGAGGATTAGTTTGCTTTGATTGTATAAATATGCATTCAGGAGTTTTGTTATATTGTGCCTGACACTTCAAAAACTAACTAAAAGCAAAAAAAGATCACTGGTCCATATCAAACCATAGAAAAACAACAGTCAAACACAAAAATACAGTCTAAAAGATCAATAGCCCTCATTAACTCCTACAAGAAAACAAAGACAATCTCAAAACGCACAAGGGGCACTCCCTGGGTGCAGGTCTGAGGCGAGCTCCTCAAGTGCCTAAGACACTTCGCTCCAAACCATGCGTGGTGCAACAGCCTCAGCTCGCCTTGCCTCACCTAGGTGGGCTCTTAAAAACTTTGGCAGAGAACGTATTCGCATAGTACCCCATGTCCCCAAGTACATCAAATTGGCTAACAATTATGGAGCCTCAAAACACTAAAAGCTATAAGTTGAGGATTGGTATGAAACTTCTCATTTTTCACATTTTCAGAAACCATGTTCTTTTTTTTTTAAAGGAGAAAAATGTTGAACATGGAGCAATATGATTCTTACGCTGCAAGAAGCTTGGTTCGAAGGTTTTCTAATTTCTTGTTGGATGTAGTCATCCACAAGTTCAAATAGCTGTAATGAAATTTGGCACTTATAAGGAAAAACACGGAATGCACAAATATCCTCCCATCTATGCATCAACCTACACAAAAGAAAAGCAAAGTTGGAGAAATCAATAGGGTTATGGTACAGTAAGATATGTTCAGTAGGCAGAAAATAAAATCAATAACCATCCCAGTGAACAATCGAAAGAGTTCCGGCCCAGCCAAAACCCTAACGAGAGTAACACCTGCCTCTCATTATAAATGCAGAGGGATAAGCTGTAGCCAAATTACACAACAGAATAAAAAAGACAGAAGATGGAAAAACAAAGAGGATGTGATGAAAAGAAGAAAAAATTTGAGCAGACAGAGAACTTAACATTTACAGCTCTCATTTTTCCTTAATTGTGTACTTCGAGTATGTACATAGCATCTTTCTACGTCTTTAGATTTTCACAATCAACTTATTGATTTACTCCCAGCTCTTTGTCAAAAAGCTTCTTTTTAACTCTCATCTGTATTCCAAACTCATCCAACCCAATTAAACTCCTTTGTTATTGTTATAGGTGCAGGTGCTTGCTTGAATAATAGCTTAGGGTAAGGTGAATGTTTGCGACTTGTTGCAAAAGAGAAGGTCTAACACTTATATTTCTCCACATCTGTGTGTAATATACAAGCAATGTTGTGAATGTATTTAACATTTGTTCCTTCATTGTCTTAGCTATTTTCGTGTGGCATAAGATTTTGTGGGAGGCGGATTTGGCATGTGTCACACTTGTTATGTTGTTTCTCTTTTCGTAATGCGATTTGGTGGTTTTGGCAATGGCAAAAAAGCTTTAACTTCATGGAAATGTGGGGTCTTGGCTATTTTTTGGGTGGTTTGGATAGAGAGAAATTGTAGAATCTTTGAAGGACGGGAGGATATGGAATTTTTAGGGGGTAGAGTGAAGTTTTTGCAATTTTTATGGATTGTTGTTGCCAAAGACTTTCATGACACTTCTCTCTTAGGTCTCGAACACAATTGGAAAGTAATTTTTACTCCATAGTATTTGTTTTCTTCGCTTAATTTTTACTCTTTTTGGTGGACTTCTTATCCACTAATTATGTACATTTATATCTTCCAATGAAATGAAAGTGTTATTTCTTATTAAAATAAATAAATAAACAGCTCATGCAAAGTGCATGTGTTATAGTTTCATGTGTTTCCACTAATATTTTTAGAAAATGCCTATAACTTAAAAGCTATGAAGCCTGAATACTTCGTTTAGGTAGATGAACTTCTTCTTCTTCTTCTTCTTCCACGACGATTCAAAAAACATTGATCTTGGATGGAACTAAACAAGACATACATGTATTAGATATGATACTTATCGAATACTCGATAATACATATCGGATATACACTACGTGTATCGAATAATAAACAAATATTTGGATAAATGACGACTGACAACTATCTGGTCAAACACAGGTGTTTGTGAAGTACTATCTACTATCAAATGCCAAAAGAGTATAAAATGAGCTAATCACACTATCTCTTGACAATGAGTACTTCTAGGAAAAAAAAGAAAAAGAAAAATGTTCAATGCTGGCTCCAATTCATTTGATTAGTAATATTCACTTTATGGATATACTATAATAAGACAATCCATAGTTCTACGAAAGTGAAAATAGCTTATTCTTTGTATTGTCATCAAAGAAACCACTAATAAATATAATTATGAAGTTGATAAATAATAGTAAAAATATAAAATATATTCTTTTATAGACGTATCGTGATTGTATTCTTATCCTATTTCCAATGGTTGTTCCGTATCATATTGTACCCATAGGCCGTATCTCGTATCTGTATCAGCCCACAGGCCAAACAAAATAGAAACAAGCATGTGTCTCATAATATTGTTGTTCAAGTGCACCATGAATCTATGACCAATAGTCAAAATGTTTAAAGTAAAGATATTCGAGCTTTCTTAACCTTAAGACAAAAGCACATATCACATAAATTTACATCTTTGTCTAAATGGAAAAAGTAAACTTAATGAAAGACCATACCCAGATGCTATGTTAGTGTCGTAGTAGCTTCGTAACGATGGTGGTACTCGAAAATCAATCCTCTGATATCTGCTAAAGCAAATCTCAATTAAGTAAACTATATCGAATTAGAGACTCCAAAGCATTTAGTAACACAAGTACCAGTCTAGCTAAGAACATGTAATTATTTGTTTCTCCTCAATGAGCAATCTACTGTTAAATACATCAATCGGTTTTGTGTTCAACTACTTTACTCGCTTTCAACCCACCCATTTAAATTTGGAGCATACAACCCAAAAAACCCACCCATTACTACTTCTTAGTTTCGATTTCTTCTTTTACTAAAATTACATTCCATATATTCAGTTTTAGTCTAACTTATCCTCGATCCTTTAATTCTAGGGCGTCTCGCCAAATTTTTAATTTATTATTAATTCCTTCTTTACTTTCATCGACTAGTACAATATGGTCTGCAAATAACATACACTATAGGAGCTCATCATGAATGTGTCTAGTCAATCCATTTTTTTTAGGACATGGAAAAAGGGGGAGGGGCGACCAGTAGGTAGTAACCCCCTAGTCACTAAATCTTCATACATATCCTTAATAACATCAATATACCTAACAATAATATTTTTCTTCTCTAAAACCCTCCATAATATCTCTCTAGGAACTCTATCATAACTATCTTCTTTTTTTGGTCAAGACAAAACTATCTTTTTTTTTTTGGTTTTTGAACTAATCTACCAGCCTAAAAATCATATAAAATCGACCCATATCATGGAAGTTATTGAAGCCTAAAAGCATCAATCTTGATCTTTTTCTCTTCTTTTCACAGCTACCTTTGAAAACCTAGAAGTAGACTACACATTGCCTCATCAACGCAAACTGAATACATGATCACAAACAAAAGGTCTAGAAATATTATATTCAGCAAATTTGGTCGTAAAAAACACCTAATCCAGTTTTGTGATGGCCAAAAGCAACTAAAAAGAAAAACTGTGACTATAAGTTGGAAGATGCAACAAGAAATGCTTAGATGGATTGAACATCAATAAGATTTCATCAGTGTAGAAATTCTCACATGCGGGATTCAGGGTCTTTGCGAGGATCAAATCCTTTTCTAATCCAGAACCTAAGGAATGGTCCGTTTGAAAAGTAATAAGCCGTTCTAAAAAGAAGCCTACAAGATCAAACAAATGCACGGTTATCACATATTATATGAGATAACCAATTGCCAGATCAGTTCATGTAATCTCAACCAATTAGAATACGATGTAATATAAA